GTAAGGCAGTCCTTCAAATTTTCCTGCTTCTGAAATGGTTTACCAGATCTTCTAGGTCTATAGCCAAAGTGGGATGCCTCAGCATTGCAGAGAAACATTGGGTAACTGTCCAGGCAGCCAGCTGTTTCTGTCATTTCTTGCATTCTTCAGAAGTCACCTGCTTGCACTTCCTTCTTACTCAGGTAATATTACTTTCCTTCTCAGGTCTTTGATGGGGTTGAAGACTAGATAGTTACAGTTACAATCCTCTGGAATCTTAGCTAGGGGCATATTAGGATAGGACAACTATTGGAGTAATCTCTGTGATTTACTGATTATCTATGGTCTGGACATCTAGAATGTGTTTCTTGTTTGATGTTGTTCTTGTTGATTGTAGTTCCATTCTTGTTTATGTTATTACCTTTCCCCCCCTCTGGACAATACTTGATAATTGTTCTTATTGTATACAGTTTTGAATTAGGGTCATAACCTTAATTAGACAAAAATGGGCAAGTGTTGTGAGAATTCGATCTATTCAGCCAATGGTATTGGGGTGACTAGCCCTATGGCATAGTCTTGTCTGGGTTCGTGACCAGATAAGAACTGAGGAGGAGGGTCAAGCTATCTCTCTGGGATGTGGAAGGCTTCCTAACACCACAGTTCAGTGAGCTGGTACAGAGCTTTCCCCATCCTTCCCTGGTGGACAAGGAGGCAGTGGGGCTACTGCATTCTGTATTCGTGAGTGTTTTTCCCCTTTCATCCCTTAATAAATTGACCAGACTTCCATGGGTTCTCACTTTACCGGGGTCTTGCCCTGAGAGTACCACATTCCATTCAGCATTAGGCCTTTCTTTAAACTTCAAATCTCCTTGAGCATAAGACTTGGCTTCAACATTACATCCTCTGGTGCTCTTTTTTACAGTCAATATTAGATAGTATTGAAATCTCTGCTAATGACATTCACCCAAAACTCTTTGTTTTCACTTTCAGCATATTTTTAGTCCATTTCAATACATACCCTCCCAAAGCGGAGTATGGTGGTGAACAAGTATAAAGTAGCTCTCAGCAGGTTGAGAAAGGAGGAGCCAGTTCAAGGTCAGCTCTGGCTATGCAGGGAGATGTAGCCAGAAGGTTGCTCTGGTTCTGCCTGGCCCTGTGGTTGGGATAAATCTCTCCCACCTGTGTCCTGCAGCTGGTTGATCCCAGGTAAATACACAGAGGCTTGAATTATTTACAAATTGTATGGCCTATGGTAGGCTTTTTGCTAGCCAGCTATTATAACTTAATCCATTTCTATTAATCTGTAAGTTGCCACGTGACCATGGCATTACCAGTCTGCTGGCATCTTGCTTCTCCTTGAACGGCGGATGGTGTCTCCCCTGACTCTGCCTTTCTCTTTCCTGGCACCCAACGTTCGTGGTATGAATTCATGAAAAAGCTGCTTGCCTGTGGCCTTGTGGGCCCCAGCTTAGACCCGAGCTACCCTCAGCCGGTTGTGGTGGTGCTGAAGGAGGCAGAGGCAGGAGGATCCTGAGTTTGAGGCTGGCCTAGGAGGCTTGCTAAGGAAAAGCTGCAGCCGGCCGGGGACTAGTTACAAACGGTGGTAGGACCATGGAGGCAGCGGCTGCTGCTCCGAGTTGCTGGCTCCTTCTCATCATGTTGGTGACTGCAATGATGCTGCTACCTGGGATGAAGAGTTTACTTCTGCTTGTTCAGAGAAGAATTGCCAGGACCATCGTGTTACAAAAAAGCATCAGCAAAGGTCAGTTTGGAAAAGTTTGGCAAGACAAATGGTGGGGAGACATTGCTGTGAAGACTTTCTCTTCTAAGGAAGAACGTTCATGGTTCCGAGAGACAGACATTTATCAGACTGTGATTGCTCCAAACCACAGAGGAGGCACAAAAAAAAAAAAAAAAAAAAAAAAAAAAATCTAAAGGGAACCATGTCCACACCTAACAGCAACTTTGGAATCTTCAAAAGGATGACAGGATCCCACAATGATGATTCCACAAGGACTACGGTAAAGCCATTAAGTTGATTAACACCATGGAAAAATCAACTTTGGACTACAAACTGGTCAGGACAATTTCGAGATGACTGGGTGAGATGATCCAGCCTGACAGACTACTCGAGCAAGGACTTGTGACAAGCCCTGAACTTTCCTATTATGCAGAGACTGGACAAATGATACAGGACTTGACAATTAACCCAAAAATTTTCTTTTCAAGATTCCCTAAAGATATCTTCACCCCTAGAAAGCAAAAAGAAAAAGAGAATATAGATATGAGATAGATCATCGAATCTACTCTGAGAAAAAAGATAAAGAAATAATAGGATAAATGGGTAGATCACTGAATCTACACTGAAAAGAAAAAGGGGAAGATATAAAAATGACAAAAGGTAGATTACTGAATCTATTATGAAAAGAAAAAATACTTTTAAAAAGGAACTACTTGTTTTAAATAAGATAAGTAAAGAAAATTTTTTGTCTGAGTTTATCAATGTTACTGGACTGGACATTGTTAATATATATAATGGAGTTTTTTATCTGAATCTGTCAAATGTTAATGGACTAGACATTGTTAATGTAATCTTGACTGTGTATATATTGTATATACTTATTGGATAGTTTTTCTTGTATTAGTTATAAGCTTTTTTAAAATTTTAGACAAAAAAGGGGAAATATGGTGGTATTGTGTTCCCCAAAATATTGTACACTCTAATAAACTTATCTGGGGTCAGAGACAGAACAGCCACAATATTAAACATAGAGGATAGGCAGTGGTAGCACACGCCTTTAATCCTAGCATTCCAGAGGCAGAAATCCATGTGTTCAAGGATACAGCCAAGCATGGTGACTCACGCCTTTAATCCCAGAAAGTGAGCCTTTAATCCCAGGGAGTGATGGTAGAAAGCAGAAAGGTATATAAGGCATGAGGACCAGAAACTAGAAGCATTTGGCTGGTTAAGCGTTCAGGCTTTCGAGCAGCAATTCAGCTGAGACCCATTCTGGATGAGGACTCAGAGGCCTCCAGTCTGAGGAAACAAGACCAGCTGAGAAGTTGGCCAGGTGAGGTTAGCTGTGGCTTGTTCTATCTCTCTGATCTTCCAGTGTTCACCCCAATAACTGGCCACAGGTTTGATTTTATTAATAAGACTCTTTAAGATTCCTGCTACATCCTCTCTCCTTGGATTTCCTGCTTGCTTCTAATCTGCCTTGCCATAGGCCAAAGCAGCTTATTTATTAACCAATGGGAACAACATATATTCACAGTGTATAGAAAGACATCCCCCAGCAGGGAGATCTGTCATAATTTAAAACATTTCATTCTCATACAAAAATAATTTGAGGGCAGAACTTTAAATTGAGATTTATTTTGCCTCATAGTTTGAAGATACTTATTCAATTGTTCTGACTTCAGAGGTCCCTAATAGAAATCCATGAATTTGCACAGGAGATAAAACCACCTCTTCCCTAAGATTTTTCACTTGGTCTCAAGAATTGTCACAAATCAAATAAATAGTAAAGATATGTAGGAATACATTTACCATAAATATTAAGGAATGTGATGACTAAGAAGTAGCTCCATTTCAAACTGAGCTTCAAATTAAATTATTGTGTAAAAAGGAAATACCTAGGACTCAGCAGAACCTTAGTCTTAGTCTAAAGGTTTTTAACCACAGGATGCCTAGACCACAATCCTAAGGTCTGACCCATCAGCAGTTGAATCTTGACAGCAACCTAAGGAGGAGACTGATCTCAGAGTCACCTGCCTCATCTCCAGAAATTGTTTCCCCTTCCTTTATTGTGTAATTGTTATCCTAAAATATTAACCAGACACTCACTCTGCTTCTGTAATCTCACTTACCTGCTGTTTGTTCAGAAAAACAAAACACACACACACACACACACACACACACACACACACACACACACACACACGATAACTCCTCACGTAGCAGAAGAATCCTCAAGAATTTAAACAGTTGAAAGACTCCAGCGGTCTTCCCCTTCTGCAGCAGTTCTCATATTGTGTCACAACTGTTCTCAGTTGTCACAACATTGCTATAAATAAAATAAACTTCTTTACTTTGAAGTTGGAGTTTTGTCTGGTGGTCTTGAACTCTGAAACAGAGGTATACGAGAGCACTTACAAGGAGATGAAACATCACGTAGAACCTTTACATACTGAACTGGTCAGTGGATGAGGATGTGATAAGCCTTACCGTGGCATCCCAGTTTCTTTCGTTTTACAAAATGAACAAACCAGATGGCTCTATTTTCTAGTCAAAACTTCAAAAATGCCCATTCCTGGATTTAAAAAAATTATGACAATTGGGCTGGACAGGTGGCACAGCTCTGAAAAGCACTTGCTGCTCTTGCAGAGGATCTGAGTTTGGTTTCTAGAACTTTCATGGCAGCCCCCAATGGCCAGTAGCTCCAGTAAGGGGTCCAACCCCACACCTGGCCTCTGTAGCTACTGAATGTTCATAGTGACACAGCACACGTGCAACTACTTTGATAGGCCTCGTCCTCTGCCGTTAAAGCTGACAGGGCTAATTCACAGCATTCCAAATGTCTCACTTCCTTGACCAACATTCTAGCTCACTTTGTGATGACATTTGTTCTCCGTAATGGCAGTTTTCTAGGACGCTTTGGTACAGTTGTAGAGCCTGGGCATCCTCAACTACTTTTAGGTAGGAGGGAGCTGATTAGTGACCTGCTTCTTCTGATTCAGCGGCAGTTTTACTCCATAACTCGCTGCAATATTAGCTTCATATCCTAACCAGGTCATGTCACTTTCCCAAGGAAGGTCCTACACACTGTCATGAGCTAATAAAACGTAACCGCTGGTGCAAATTACTTGTGGAGTTATGTTTTCCGTAATGTAAAAATTTGAAATTTTGACTTCCCAAGATTGTCCCTGTTCAAGAAGAAAACTTATCACTCATGCACAGCCTTTCCTGAAAATGAAGGTGGCTCTGAAAAGAGCCGTTTGTTTCAAACTATTGAGGACAGTCACTTGTTCTGCGCCTTGTGGTGGCTCTCGGTCTTCTTGGGCAGCAGCACCGCCTGGATGTTGGGCAGGACGCCGCCCTGCGCGATGGTCACGCGGCCCAGCAGCTTGTTGAGCTCCTCGTCGTTGCGGATGGCCAGCTGCAGGTGGCGCGGGATGATGCGCGTCTTCTTGTTGTCGCGGGCCGCGTTGCCAGCCAGCTCCAGGATCTCGGCCGTCAGGTACTCCAGTACGGCCGCCAGGTACACTGGTGTGCCAGCCCCGATGCGCTCGGCATAGTTCCCTTGGCGAAGGAGCCTATGGACACGACCCACAGGGAACTGCAAGCCAGCCCTGAAAGAACGGGACTTCGCCTTGGCGCGAGCCTTGCCGCCCTGCTTTGCACGTCCAGACATAGTTCCCCAAAAGCCTTAAGACGAATGTAAGCAAAATAGCGGTTCCAGGCCTATTTATAGTCTGATGGAAGGTCATAATTGCCACCTGATTGGCTGGTTGATAATGGGCTAGCCAATCAGGAAGCACTACTTGAATTCCCCTTATTTGCATGCACAGAGCCCTTATTACCCAATCAGATAACGTATGCTCATACGTCATTTGAGGTCCACACCTATAAATACCACTCTTCTCAGTTTAAAAATAGACGGTGTGTTCTCAGCAGTTGGAACTCCTTTGAGCCGTTGGGGGTGTGAAAGGTTACTTTCACGATGCCGGAGGTGTCCGCGAAGGGCACTACCATTTCCAAGAAAGGCTTCAAGAAAGCGGTCACCAAGACTCAGAAGAAGGAGGGTCGGAAACGGAAGAGATGCCGTAAAGAGAGCTACTCCATCTACATCTATAAAGTGCTGAAGCAGGTGCACCCCGACACGGGCATCTCCTCCAAGGCCATGGGCATCATGAATTCCTTTGTGACAGACATCTTCGAGCGCATCGCGGGCGAGGCGTCGCGCCTGGCGCATTACAACAAGCGCTCGACCATCACGTCCCGGGAGATCCAGACGGCCGTGCGCCTGCTGCTGCCCGGGGAGCTGGCCAAGCACGCCGTGTCCGAGGGCACCAAGGCCGTCACCAAATACACCAGCTCCAAGTGAGCGGCGGACCTCACCGAAACCCAAAGGCTCTTTTCAGAGCCACCCACCTCTTTGGGCAAGGGAGCTGTGCTTAGTTGCTGGTCCTAGTGCTGCACTTGGGCGTATGGACGCTTGACTAAATAAAGCCTGGCCCAGGCTGCAGTTAAGGGACTGTCACTTGACATCGGAACAGTTTTCCAAGTGTGGTTTGGTTTTCAGAGGAGGACCACATAATCCCAAAGCCGCTGGAGGCCCGAAGCCGAGGGCTTTCTGGCCTAATGTCTTCGGTCTAGTGAGGGTTCTAGGATTTAGTTTTGCTGGGAAAACCAACGGTAGGTAGGGGCTGTCTTGTAGACACACGCTTCCTAGTGGAATGTGTCCCGCGGAGCCAACTGACCAACCGCAATAACGGAATTCCTCCGTGCTCCTGCCGAAATGGCCGCCTCGGCCTATGCCTTGGGTGGCCGAGTCTAGCTGCCCCAGCTTCCAGATCCTTGCCAATTTTGTGACCACTGTTAATGGACACTCCCAGTTATCCAGCGATAGTGAGGACCGTTCAGGGAAAAAAGCCAGTAAAGGCTCCTGTCTTCAAAGCAAACCCGGCATAGGTTTTACGTCATATGTAGTCTGGCTGCAGTCATAGAAAATGTTAGCTGTCTAGGCTGGGGTAATGCCGAACGGGACCAGCAAGGGCAGAAAGGGTCAACTAGGAAGAGTCCTGCTCCACTGCCCAGATCCCATCTTTAGAGTAGTCTGTACATTAGAGTCTTACAGTTATATTTTCAGATAATAGAAAGTAGTCATTGTTTTACTGCCTTCCATAGCTTCCCCCAAACAGTCCTCCGTTGGGCACGTCCTTACTGCTCTATTGTTTTGAAGAGAGATAGGACAACTCTACAACAGGAAGGAAGCACAAATTGGTAGCTTACTTAGTTTTAGAGGGTTAGCCCATGATCATCACGGCAGGAAGCAGACAGACATTGTGCTGGAGCAGTAGCTGAGATCTTTACATCCTGATCTGAAGACAGGAGGCAGAGAGAGAGAGAGAGAGAGAGAGAGAGAGAGAGAGAGAGAGAGAGAGAGAGAGAGAGAGAGAGAGAGAGAGAGAGAGAGAGAGAGAGAGAAAGCGAGCGCCTGGGCTGTACTTTTGAAGCCTCAAAATCCATTCCCAGTGAAACACTTCCTCCAGTAAGGCCACACCTCCTCCAACAAGGCTACACCTCCCAATTCTTCTATTCCCAAACAGTTCCTATTCTCAAACAGTTCCACTCCCTGGTGACTAAACATTTAAATATATGAGCCTATGAGGCCATTCTCATTCAAATCACCACAGGAACCAAGAGTTCAAACACATGAGCAAATGGGTGACATCTCACACTCAAACCATTACAAGGGTCCACTCCACAACGCAGATGACCTCATTTCAACATTCTTAAAACTACATCCTCAAACATCGTTTCTAAGCATGGCCATAAAGAGGGTGAGGCATAAGCATTCTGTCTGTAAACAGTTTAATCCATGGCACTTCACATCTTAAACCTGACCCTTAGCCTTTAGCCTCACATAAAAAATGTCAGAGCACATGTATCAGGAGTATTTTACAATTAATTACAGATAGTGCCTGGCCTTCTTTGGTCTTATAAATTAACCTGCCCCAAAATTTCGATGCCATTTTCTTCATTAAAAAATGATTGAGACAACTTTCTCCTTTGTGTTTACTTCACTCCAGAAACCCTGTGTTACTGGGGACTTCCTTTATCATGTGCAATCACTCACACAAGCACACTCACACACCCTGTTCACTCAGTGAGCAAATGTTATGAGACCAGGGAAAGGAACACAGTTTTTATAAAGGACTTTTTGGAAAGGAAAATAAGGAGAACTAAGTGGAGGTGTGTCTGACCCAATCCCACTGTACAGGCCAATGATACCAGTGTGCAATGTCTGTGCAATGTAGACATGTAAGATGGATAGGCCCTCTGTTCCTGTTCCTTCAGGGAGAGCAGGTTTCTATTGCTGTGAGAAAAATCTTACCAATAGCAACTTGAGGAGAAAAGTGTTTATTTCATCTTATAGTGGTAGTTCATCGTGAAGAGAATTCAGGGCAGGAATTCAAGGCAAGAACTTGCAGGTAGGAACTGAAGCCGAGATCATGGAGGAATGCTGGGAACTGGCATGCTCAGCTTTTTCTTATACAACCCAGAACCACCAGCCCAGGATGGCACAGTACTCTGGGCCCTCCCACATCAATCACTAATCAAGAACACATCCCATAGACTTGCCTACAGAAACCAATTGATGGAGGCATTTTCTCAAATGTAGGTCCCAAATAACTCTGTGTCAAGTTGACAAAACTAACCAGGACAAATGGTATGTCTACCCAGTACTATTCAGTGATTGGAAAAGGAAAAGGAACAATTGCTGCACATAACAAGATGGTGAATTTCAAGCTATGCTTCCAAGTGAGAGAACAAGCCTGGAAAATCTGCCAGTGTTTCAGAGGCAGACACAACAGATATTTGCTGCCTCCAAGTGTGATCCCTGATTACAGACAACACATGCTTCTACACATGGACCTTCAGATGCCCTGTCTGTTATCTCTTTGGTCTCACAGCTAAGCACTCAGGAGTTCCCCTCATGGACATCTCACTGTGCACAAAAATACAAGGCTTTCCCCCTGTGAATTAAAAAATGCATTTAAAAATTATGTGTGTGTATGTACAGTTATGTGGACATATGCATGTGTGTGTATGTACAGTATGTGGATATGTGCATGTGTGTATGTACAGTATATGTATATGTGCACGTGTGTGCATGTACAGTACGTAGGTATGTGCATGGGTGTGTATATGTATGTGAAGAAAGAGTTCTATGGTGGTATTTTATTTGTACTGAAATGTGATTTTAATTGTATGTTAATAAATAAAGTTGCCCGGGGGTCAGAGCTAATAGCAAGCCATAGCAGAGCTAGGTAGATCTCTTTGTGTTCAAGGATACAGCCAGCATTGGAGACACACGCTCCAATGTGTGTCTGGAGGTCTGTACAGACAGGCAGTGATGAGGCAGTCACATGGTTGGGTTTACAACCAATGAGAAGGCAGAACAGAAAGTCTATATAAAGACAAACAGACAGAAAGTAGGTCTCTTTTTCGGAGAGGTCTCTTGGCTTAAGAGGCTAGCTGCAGCAGGCGGGTAAGGCTCTTAGCTCTGATCTCTTGGCTTTCTTCTTTGCATTGGTTCTGTGTTTCTTATTTATTAAGACGGTTGGTTACATCTACAGAGTTCAGGTGATGGAGAGTGGCTCTTTCACTCAGAATCCTCTAACTGAAATATATAGCCTATATTCTCTCCCATTAGTACTGAAGGACACAAAGGATTGTGTCATAAATGTGAGCCAAGCACAAATTATGAAGGAATGCAAACTCAGACAAACTGTTGGTTTCCAACACAAATGATTTGAAACAAGACCTTTACATTCCACTTCAATCTGCTTTGTAATTCATTGGAGACCCAAATGAATGCACAGTGTCTCCTCAGAATCCTGGTGCTGCAGCCTGGGCTCAGTAGCTTCAAGGGTGCTGACTTACAGGGTATAAGTTCCCCTACATGTTGCCAAGAGAGAAAAAAAATCTTCCTCTCTGGTCCCATGGCAGGCTTCACCCCAAACCTGCAGCTCTGGGATCTTCTGCCCTTTGTCTCTGGTGATGCTAATTACTGAGAGAGGCCTGGAAAATGTCAAGCCCCACCCCCCACATGGACAATCTAGCCAGACTTACCTGGGATCTGATTTTTCCCTAAAATATATGACAAAGTTCAGTTGGATATTTAGAGATACAGTCGGATCGATTAGGAAGCAATTTTGCCTGGTGGGCCTGTCACATCAAGTATCATTGCTATCATACATTTTGTTATCCAATCCATGAAGTCCAGACATACCATCAAAGTTAAAAGTATGCTGATATGGGTGGGATGTCTTTCTGTATGTTATAAATATGTGTTGCTCCCATTGGCTAATAAATAAAGCTGCTTTGGCCTATGGCAAGGCAGGATCAGAGCCAGGCAGGAATACATAGATAAAAGCATAGATACAGAGAGAAGAAGGGCAGAGTCAGGGCAGGTGCCATCCAGCCAACCAAGAAGCAAGATGCCAGCAGACTGGTAATGCCACAGCCACATGGCAATACATAGATTAATAGAAATGGGTTAATTTAAGTTGTAAGAGCTAGTTAGTAATAAGCCTGAGCAATAGGCCAAGCATTTATAAATAATATTAAGCCTCAGAATGGTTATTTGCAAGGGGCAGTGAGACGGGGTGGGACAAAAAAGCC